GCCTTCTGGGGGAAGGAGCAGAGAAAGAAAACAAAACCACATTGTTGTGTCTACCAGGAAGATGGGTATATAGGCGAAGACAAAAGGAAATAATCAAAAGGGTTTCTTGACATTCTCGAAAACAGCATAGTAGTTGTTTTATTCTTGCCTTTTGCTTTGCCTGAAAAAAAGTTCGAGAAACAGCAGCTATCTTTATATTAATCATTTAAAAATTTCAAATTCCACTTCTGGGGAAAATAGAAACAATTTGGTTACAAAAACAAGTTTGAAAAAACATCAAAATGATTTTTTTTAAAAAAAGCTTCACCGGGAAAGGCATCAATGCATACAATATACAAATTTGTGCAGATTGTGTATATCATCAGCTTTGCCCACCTGGCACCCATCAGATGCTTCAGACTACAAGTCCCATCAAGCAGAGACCACATTTTCTGGGGACAATGGAGGCTATAGTCAAAGTATCTGAAGGGCACTGCATAATTTAGGGAAGGCTGGTGTATATCATATCATTGTCACCAGCAATTAGTTTTGATAAGCTCATCAACAAGCCCTTTCCAACAAGGATCAACTTAACTTTTTAACAAGGAAGCGAGAAGACACCTTTTCCAAGGACCTCACGTTGCCTACAACTTTGTACTGCCTGGGTTGAATAAAGTCTTCATTCTTTTTGAGGCGCTGCCCCAAACTGCTTAAATATAAAGGGATCACACAATAAGCCCAAAAAGTAGCTTTGTAAATGCAACAGATGCTTAAGGTACAGATAAAAGGAACAGCTAAAGATTGACAGCTAAAGGTTCTAGAAAGCGACATCACAATTAAAAGTTGTGCTTCTTTATTAATTAATTCCATTTACAATTATGAACTAACCCTAACTTTCTCCCCCCTCTAATTCAGTAGCAGAAGGAGGAGGGAAAAATGGTGTCCATTTTTACATGCTTCAGTTCTCTGGCTCTATAAAATCCCCGAAACTGCAACTGTAAGAGTTTGCCTAGTCTAGTTACAGGAGTTTGCACCCATTGTACCAACTGTGCAAGGTACAATGTGGTAATAACCATTATAACATCACTCCCCTTGAGAAAATCAAGTGTTGGTTTTTTTCTTGTGTAATTGAGGCAACGTTAAGGTAAACTAGTCATATGGCTATACTTCAGTCAGAAGACTGACTCCACCAGCCCCATTGACAAATTACTTTTAATAATAATGAAAAGCCAAATATTCTTTCTCTTTCTTTTTTCTTAAAAAAATGACATGGTACGTTGTGACATATTTGCATATTTAAGACACGTCAAAATTGTCTGTTCTCAAATGGAGAATGTGGATATTAGTACATGTCTAAGTGAGGGAAATAATTTGGAAACTTGACTGGTGGTTCAAAAAAATCAGTAACCGGCCCCATTCTCACTTTCTTTTAATGTGTGCGTATCTTTTATTAGCCACCTGTAGGCACTACAAAATAGGTGTGGTCATGACCTGGTTTCAGCAGGCTCCTCGAGGTTTTCTGTGTCAGCCAATGAATATTCAGGATGGATCAGAGCAACTGCTGAGGCGCCACCACAACACAAACTATGAAGCTATGGCTGGGAGAGTAGGTTGACATGCAGGCGGCATGTAGTATACATGCAAGTAAGTGTCATGGAAGAACCAAGAGGCACATGGCAAGCTTCATATATACGGTTCATGCCTGTCACTGTGATAATGAAAAGTGGACAAAACCTTATCATCATTTATAGCAGGAGGTATCAACTAAAAAAACACAACAGTTTCTAAAGTTAACTGTTAAAATCTATCCCCAATGCCAGATGGATGTGCCACCTAAAAGTCAGAGTGTGATTCTCACTGGTGACCCTGTGAAAACATAGCTGAGCAAATCAGCAATGCAGAGGAACTATGTTTATTGACACGTAATAAATAGCAGGTAACCCTCCAATGAGAGTTTGGAAATGAAAAAAATTCTCAACTGCAGTTCCAAGAATCTTCCTGTCTAGGAGCTGGGGCCTTCTAGGAGTTGTAGCCTAAAACGTTAATCCAGTCAAATTTTTAAATACTAGCAATAGGCCTATTTAGGAGGGAGATGATTTGGGGAACAGCATCATCATCACCACCTGTCTTATGTTGCTGAAATACTAAAAACACCTCCTATTTCATCCACCTCACCCTTCTGACCTCTGTTTTTTCCAAGAAATAAAATGTACTGCATTTTAGAAATCTATCAGCTCATCAGAATGGGGGATTCAAGGGCTTTTCAGAACATTAAGTTCCAAGCCTCAAATGTATAAAGCCATTTTAACTCTGCACAGAGCTATATGGTACCAAGTACTGAAAAGCTACAGGCAGTATCTATCTACACATTTGGAAGTGGGGGAAAAGGGCTTCTTGATACACTTCATTCTCTCTGTCTCTTGAGACAGAAAAGTGGAAAAAAATTAACTAACCGCTAATTGCTTGTCTTTTACATTTGACATGGAGCTGGGTGGGATGCATTTAAAATAAACAGCACTAACTTTTGTGCTGTGATGTATTAGTTATAAAGAAATTATGTGACTATTGAAGAATGTATGAAGGGCAATCCAGACAGAAGTAATTGATTTTCCAAAAGATAAAAATAACATTAAAAGACTGCTAGGTGGACAATGGATGGAGAGGAAATTATTTACTTACTCCTCATGCTTCATCCACCAGCTCAAAAATGACCTCATGTATTGAAAAATATGGATTTGGATATAATGCACTGCACAACAGTTCTCTACAAACTATTCAGATTATTTTGTTACAGCATGTTCATGAAACCCTGAGATCTATGAAAACAGTGGTGATCTTCTGCAGAAACCAACTGGAACGTAACGGCATCTTTTGTAATTAATTGTGACAAAAGAAGTCTACAACAGCACCATATTTGAATGGTGCATGTAATACTGGGTTTGGATTAGACCTGGATGATCCTCACCATGGCACATTAGGCCTATTCAGCTGTTAGATGGAACAGTTAATCTTAACCTATGAGTAAACAGAGCAAGCTAGTCCTGCCCCTTTCCCCCAGTTTTCCCACATGAAGGGCCAAGGAGAGCAGTCTCTATCCATGGTGGCTCTTGACGCAGTCAGAAAACCTGAAAAAATCACGGGACTTGGGGAGATACACTATGTATAGACACTGCTGCCTTCTTCAGATCTCTCTCTCCACACAAAAGAGACAGGACAAAAGAGGGCTGGGCTAACCTGCTCCCCCACTAAGGCTAACCCTTTCACTCAATACCTGAATAGGGCTATAGTGTCAACTCAAACACAGTGCTTTTCATGGGAAGTTATTTATCCATTCAATTTTGAGTCACTGTACACTGAAGAGCAAAGTGATGAGAGACTAAGGCTGCAATCCTGTGTTCACTTACCTCGGAGCGAGCCCCAGATAGCTCAGTGGGACTTCTTTCTGAGTAATGATATATAGGATTGCACTGAAAGGGATGCACATGTACTGTATGTGTGAATCAGCCCTCAGGAACCAGCAACCAGAAATTTATAGGCCAAGATCCAACAATCTACTTCTGTTTCCCAAATTAGCAAAGCTAGGACTTTCTCATTCCCCTGTTCCAGTTCTAGGGCTCCATGGAATGAGGGCTTCTATTCTAATGAAATAGAATAGAAACCCATAGGGGTTTTTTTAATGGTGCATGAGGGGCCACAAGTTCTGGCAGTAGTAGATTATGGTGGAAATACACACCTGAATTCTGGCCATAGACATCCTGAGTTTTTGAACTGGTGGTTGAGTTTTCTGTTCCCGTCAGCCATTATTTTATCTAAACTCTCAAAAACCTGAAACTAATTATATCTGGGAGTAAAAGCATTTTTGTTCTGGGCTATCCATTTTTGGACAATTTCTCACAATTTTTTTTACCATCACCTTCACTTTGAAGGCTGCTCCCCTACACTTCCATGTTTTGGGAAACATGGGATCTCTCCAAGTTGCCTATAAGAGCAAATAAGAAAAACATGTCAGTTTTGATAAATTAATGGTATGAGGACAAAGCTGAGCCAGGCTAAATGGCAAAAAGCCTCAAGATACGCAAGACATAAATGAGGTAAGAAAGGGGCCTTAAACATGGTCAACTGCATAGACCACTATGATGGAAGTAATCAGTATATACAACGGATCACAAAATTGATTACAGATGTATTAAGATTATATGGGCTGCTATAGAAAGGGAAGATTCCAATCTTTTACAGATTAGCCTTCAACAGCTGATTGATTCAGTAAAATGTATGTAGATTAGAAGAAAAAACAAAAGGAAAAATAGTTACTTAAATGTGCAACTGCACAAATATAATTCCCCCACTAACAAAAACTTCTGCTATTACCATCATTATTATATATATTAGAAAGCTATACACAAGCATGTTAATTTCACAGATTTTTTTAAAAGATTCTTAATATTTTATATAATTAGAAATACACATTTCAAAAAAACCTTTGCAAAGAGAAAACAGTTATCTTGGTTAGCAAAGCATGGAGTTCTTCATGGCTTAGGGTAGTGCTTTCTATACATAAAAAGTCCCCTTTTTGTTTCTTTTAGGGCTGTTTAAAATATGGTGAAGCAATGAAGGGAGAAAACCACATTTTGGCTTAAGTAGACTACAAAAAGCCACAATGAACTGTCTTACTTTTTAATATGAAAATAAGGAAAAATGTAATTTACATATTTTTATATTTTTATTTAATAAGTGATGCAGACCCAGATTTTATTTAAAAAAATTAAATAGGTTAATCTTCAAACTAAATTTTTTTGTTTAAAGTATGGTCCTCTTTTAAATGTTTTTGATCCGTTTAACTGAGTGCCATACTCCATTGATATGCCAACACATCTGTGAGCATTTCAGATGCATTGGGTGACCTAGATTCTTCTTTTTTTTTCCTTTTTTCTTGGTCACCCAATTTCTGGGTCTCCCAAAATTTCTATACATTTTCTATATGTTGCATAACAGCCGTTTTCTCTCTCAGTAAAGATCTGCCACACCGGGCAAATGTTTCCTTTTATTAATTTTTTTGTCTATTTACATGTAAATAACGTTGAACCTGCAACATGACACTACCTATTGTAACATACATTTTGCAAGGGAGCACAACAGTGAAAAGAAGTTAACTTTAAAACCTATTTTGTACAAGTGTTCTGTTGTACAATTCAAGTGCGAAGCTTATCTCAGCCGTTGCTGTTTATCTTTAATATGGTATCACTGAGGCAATTTAAAAGTACTTTTACAAAACAGAGTACCTGACTTCCCCCCCAACACACAGCACATAGAATGCATATCGACCCCCCCTCCCTATTTCCCATTAAGGTATAGCACACACACACACACACACACACACTGCAAGGAAAAAAACCCTAATAGCTAATAATGCTATCATGTTGCCCATCCTTCAGAGAGCCGCATGCGCTTCACAGAGGGACTTTCCCGTTCGTCCGGCGACGGTCTGGTGAGTCCAATGGGAGAGTGGAATTCGTTCCGGTGATCCTCTCTGTCGCTTCCATCATATGAACTACTACAGCTGCTCAAGCTGTCAACAGGGGATCTTCCCGCCTCGTGGCGCGTGTGCTGTGGGTATCTCGATGGTGTGGTGGTACGGTCTCTAGGAGGAGAAACAGGTTCTGACTTGATGTTGAGGCTTTGAGTAGAAGGCAGGGAGAGATTTGTATTCTGAGATAAATGAGTGCTAGTGCAAGCTCTGTAGGAGGAAAGGAAACCCAGTTACAGATGGAGGAGGCAGAGCCCCCGGAAATGCACACTTACACAAAACCAATCAACCAATAGATTCAAACGCATAGCATGCCAAGAAAGGGAGAGATATTCCTTATAGATGTGAGGAATAACTGAGCAGACATCTCTCCTGTGATAGCTTTTCATGATTTACTCAGAGTTAGCTTTCTGGATTATGGCTCCATGGCTGAAATCCAGTAGCAAAAACTAAAGCAAGGCCATTGAATCTATTGAACTTACATAGATGTTGAATCACAAAATCTCTACTGAGTCAATGAGTGGACTTACTACTAGATTTCAGCCCATACTAGTTTTTTGGACTAGACATTTCATACAAATCAAGTCAATTCATTTTCTTTCTTGAGCCAGGACTTGTCCTGGATATCTGACATTCAGTTCCACCCTGACCCCTTGGGAGCTGGTTGGGGAATTTTGAGAGTCATACTCCAGACAACTAACTTTTCAAGACTCTGGGTTTCTTCTGTTATGTGCATAAGGATTGCAGGCAAGATTCAGCTTCTCTTTGATGTCCTGCAACAAAATAATTGTGCAGCTACATTTTGCCATTTTAAAACTCCTTTTGTAATTGATAACTGCATCTCTGCATGCATACCTTCATGCTTTTGAAACACTGCTATCCAATAGCCTGGTTTGGAACTGTTACTCCCAGATGCACATGAGGTACGTATTTAGGCCTGATTCATAGAAGACTTTTTAAAAAAGTGAATGGACCACAAGTCAAATTTCTTTCTTCAAGGCCTTGTGAATCTTTTGATAGTTGCCAGAATTGCAATTGATCAAGTCCCCTTGAAGATAGGATGAGTAAGGATGCATCAATATTAGGGACACTTTTATAACAATGTGTCAGCCTTTCAGAATACAGTAGAAGCCCTGTATTCAATGATTGGGATTTGCAGTTTCAGTTGTCTGCGGTTTACCACAGCCCTATATACAACATACAAGGCCTTGTGGTCTTTGTCCTGCCTCCTTATATGTTGTATATAAGGCTCACTAGAACCCATGGATCCAGGCATTTGCAGTAGATTGTGAAACAGATTTCTCCATGGATATGGGGGTCCTACTGTATATGCAAATTCTCTAGACATATGTAAATAAGCCCAAACCTTGACACATTATAACCATATAGATCAGCCCTTTGAACTCTCTAGTGCCCTCAAAAGATCAGCATTAGGCAGGATGTGGGAAATTCAGTGTCAGATCCCTGGTGAGCAAAGGTAAATTAAAAAAAAAGGAAGTAGTAGTAGTAACTGGCCTGATTTGGACAAAATGCAAAACCACGGTTTAGTGTTACATGAATGAGCAGCAATGAGCCGGTGCCTACTGGTACAGGATCTCACCCTTGTTCAAACTCCAAAAGTGAGGGACCATTGGTGCAACAGCTTTTGCATCAGCATAAAGATTTCAAGGACAGAGGTCTCAGTATTAGTGGAAAGGGGTGATAAAGCACACCAGATGGAAGCAAATAGGGTTTCTCTGCATAAGTCATAATCTCACTGGTGCATTAGCATGCTGTAGCCCTATGGACACGCAGACAGACACATCTTCTAACGAGCACTGAATGCTTGGCTTCCTGGGGATAAGGCCACCAATTCTCTCATGATCCGATTCCCACACCTCACATGCTCATTGAGGAATGAACATGGGCGAGCTTTCAATTGAACAACTCTCTAGAATGTTAACAACTGATTTACACTGGACACACATGTGAAACAAAATACAGTGGGACCTCGACTTACAAACGTCCCTACCTACGAACATTTTGACTTATGAACAGCTCTGTTCGCAAAAATTGGCATCGACTTGCGAATGGAGCCTTGACCTACGAACGCAAAAAGGCAGGGGAAAAGGGTGGAAAATTCAAATTTCCGACCCCTTTCCTCTGCCTTTTTGCCTTGAGAGGTTGAGGGTCTGTTCGCAAATTAATGCCAATTTTTGCAAACGGAGCGATCGGCGCCTTTGGAGGTCTCTAACGGCTTTCCCCCTGACATCGGATTAAGCCCTTTGGGACCTCCGAAGGCAAAAAGGCAGGGGGAAAGGGCTGGAAATTCTAATTTTGCGCCCTTTCCCCCTGCCTTTTTGCCTTCAGAGGTCTTCAAGGGCTTCCTCCAATGTCGGGGGGAAAGTCCTTGGAGACCTCAGGAGGTAAAAAGGCAGGGGAAAAGGGTGGGAAATTCAAATTTCGCGCCCTTTCCCCCTGCCTTTTTGCCTTCGGAGGTCTCAAAGGGCTTCTCCGATGTCAGGGGGAAAGTCCTTGGAGACCTTAGGAGGTAAAAAGGCAGGGGAAAGGGGCAGGAAAACTCATCAATGGAGATGCTGAGTTTTCATAGGATTCAATGATCATATTATAATAAGTGGGCATATTGCCGTAACAAGACTGCAATTTTTAAATTCTCTTTTTGTGCCTTATAGTAGTAAAATTTACACTCAATAGCATTACTACATTTTTCAAATACTAGCAGCATTGTTATTTCTGTTTGTTTGTGGTTAGTTCACAACCGTACTGCAAGTTTTAGTTATATTAACAAAATGTTTATAAACATACAAGGGTCTCCCTCAGAAAAAGTAGACTGTTTATTTGAGTGGGGCCAGATTCTTTGACAAAATCATTTATGACAATTAAGATATGGTACAGGGTCTATATCTTACCTAGCACAGCCCCATGTCTCACACATGCAGGCTCAACCACACCCTTTTCACACTTAAGACTGTGCTGTTCCATTGTAAGGAAAACTATTATGTACTGCAGAGCTTCACTAGCACATTGTACCCTGTACTGCCATTTATTAATCAGTCCCTCCACTTCAATCCTTCACCACCACCACAGTGGGGCTCAACCCTGAGCCAAGAGTGAGGGACTGCAGCCAATATCTATCAGAATTCTGCTGTCACGCAGAAGGATGCTTTATATCATGGGGACACATTTGTACTTGGAAGGATGTGGTGGTGCTTTTATCACTAATTGTCACAATGTTTAATAATGAAGAGCTATTGTTAGGCAACAAAGAGAGACCAAACTGCTGAATCAGTAATTGCTTTCATCTGCCCTGCTTTCAGCAAATTTTGTCAAAATTGGTGCTGTTACATTCCTAAAGTAAAAAGACGACTGTGTGGCCCTACAGTTCCAACAATGAGAAAAGTAAAAGGAGTACAGAATTTCGCCTGATGGGCATTGCAAGGAGAACCTTGAGAAGAGAAACAAAAGTTACCTCTGCTCTTTTGGACTTTTGTGTGCTTTACTTCTGACTGGCCTGCACTCAGAACAAAGCACAAGGCTTTTAGAACAATTCCGGATGATGAGTAAACTGCTAAAAATTCTAATATACTTCTTCATAGTACAAATTTGTGAACTACCTTCAAATTGGTCATGAGTTTATTTTAAAATAATAATAATAATTGTGCACTATCAAGTCGTTTGTGACTTATGGAAGCCCTTCCCAGGATTTTCTAGGTACAGAATCCTCAAGTGGTTTACCAACCTCTTCTTCTGGGAGTGCCCTGGGACTGTGCAGCTTGCCCAAAGCTACACAGGTTGGCTCTACTTGCAGGAGGCACAGTGGGGAATCAAACTCCGAATCTTTCGCTCTGCAGCCTGATACCTAGCTTACTGAGCTACAGAGGTGGGCAAAATCTGACCCTCAGATCACCTCTACTCAGCACAGACAACTATGAGGAATGCTGAGAGTGGCAGTCCAACAATACCTGGAAGGCTGCTCTTTGCCCATTCTGGTTTAGAAATATTAGAGTTATTCACTTCCAACAAACATGGATGCAATATAGGAAGGTGCGAAATATACTTCAGGTAATTCTAGGTTTCCCCTTTCTTATTTAAGTGCACCTCCCACTTCTACTCATTAACAGCAACAATGTGCACTAAAATTAAATGGTTGTCCAGCTCTTCCATAATTCACTATAGCATTTATTCACTTTTTTTCTTTTTTATGGAGACTTAAGTATTTCTTCTGTTATGTAATTTGGCCTGTACAGAACTGTTGTTTACCTCTCCCTCAGGCCTCATGAGGCCTGTTTACTCCAGAGAAACCTGAGTTTCTGAAAGGCATTTGCTGAGAGTCAGGACCCATACAAATGAACTGGGGACCTTTCGCATCTCTTGAACCTCTCGAGTACATGAGAAAATTAAATGGCTCGTTTGGTGATAATATTAGTGCCTAATAGGTGTTAAGGACTGTGTTAAGCTAATTTTATTTTTAAAAAAGAAAAAAAAACTCACGCCAATTCTTTCTTGTGAACACATTCCTTCCTCTGATAAGCTGCTTATGACTAGAGTGTGGGAGTTTGTCCCAAAATTCTGAAGTCTTAGAAGAGGTAGCTGTGTCAGTCTGTGCTACCAGACAAAAACAAAACAAAAACAAATAACAAAGAAGACAAAAATGTTGTGGCACCTTAAAGACTGCTATATACTTCTTGACCCTGTCTGAAAAAATTGACTTGTCCATGAAAGCTCACATCAAGTTAGTCTTGAAGGTGTCACAATGTTTTCGTCTTCTTCATTTTTAAATTTTTCTTTTGTCTTTGCCTGATATGCCAACATTTTGAGATGAGGTTTCCCTTCTACTCCACTAATGAACTGATTATATTCATTTGTAAGATGTTTGGAACAGAATAACCTGGTGCAGAATTAAATGATGACCCTGGCTTCTTTAATCAGTCTTGTTATGGTATGCAACACACACAAAAAAGCTTCTTTTAATTTTGCTTAGGATGGTCATTTTCTATTCTTTGGGATTTTTTTTCCTTAGATACTTATGACAGATGCACAAGAATTTTATAAACACCCACTATGAATACAGAAAATGTTTAGTAGGGCTTCAATAGTACTAGCATAATGATTACTAATATACATTTTGGGTACAAACCATTTCTCACTGAAATAAATGGTGAAATGTGAGTTTAAACCAAGCTCAGCTACAGCTGAAAAGGCAGAACACACACTCAAATTTTCATACAATGGCCTTTCCCCCTTTTGAAATAAAGCATTAATGTATACAATTTCTGGGGAAAAACCTCTTAGGCTTGGTTCACTTGTCTATGTAGAACTTCAGTTCATATGAAGAAGAAACTTCACCTCTGTTTCTCACTGTGTTTTGTGGGGCTGGTGCAAATTTAACAGTTCAAAGAGTGTACCAAAATTGTGTGATGGTACACATTATTATAGTGTTTCCTTCCAATGGAGCACTCTCTCACAGTTGCCAGCAGAGGGCAGGAAAGCATGTGCTTTAAAAGGAAAAACACAAATTAAATTTATTTTCTGGCAAATTTTTGAATGTGCAGTATATGTTATCTTCTTGTCAAGAATTTCCCAATAATACACGAGTCTGTTTTGAATGGATTATTGTCAGGCAAATATGGATCATAGTAGGTTACAGATTGCTATTAGGTCAAATTCTTGATATTATTGTTGCGCACTCTCAAGGTGCTTTTGACTTGTGGATCCATGAATTAAAGTCTTCCAAAGGATCCTACCATTAACATTTGCCTGCCTAAGTCTTGGTAACTAAAGACGACAGCTTCTTTTATTAAGTCACTCCACCTCATGTTAAGCCTTTTTCTTTTCCTTGTGTCTTCTACTGTTCCTAGCATTACCGCCTTTTCCAGATCATCCTTCCTTCTTATGATATATCAGAAGTACAACAATCTACATTTAATTATTTTAATCATTTGAAGAATGTTAGCTGCTCAGCAATATTGAATAGACATATATAAGCAAACCAGTTTAGTAAAGTGTTGAAGCTGGATGGTGCCAACGTTTTGGTTAACAGTGAAGAATTTAAAATTAAATTCAGTAAAAGTAAAGAATTTACTGTTCGATCTATGATTTGTTTTGATTAAGAACACACCTACGTCTCTATCATGGACTAGATTCTTTACAGCTCAGCTTCAGAACTATTTCAGGATTGCAAGCACGGTTCTTTTATACTAGCTGCTGTCAAATTTTTAATCCTGAAGATGCCATGGACTGAACCAGAACCTTCAGTAGGCATGATAGGCACTCTAATATTGAGCTACAATCTTTCCCCTGAGCTGCACACCTCTATTCAACTGGACATTCCTGCCCATTTGTCATAAAATCACAGAAGCTAATTATACTGCGAAATATTCCAAAATCTGCTTCGATTCTTAGGCAGGAGCATTTTCCTTTCTGCATCTCCTCCACTCTCTTGTTCCAAATGGAGAAGGAGAAAGGATGAAGGAAGGAAGCCTTCCTCAGCAGAGTAAACCACAGTGTCTATCAGTACTGGCAAAAGGCCCATGACCTGAATGATTTGAGTCCAATAGTTATGAGTAGGACAAGATTAGACTGAGTTCCTTGAGGTCAGGTGCTGCCTGTTGCTCCCACCCACAGCAATTCAGTTCAGACAGACTATTTCAAGCTCACCCCCAACAAACAAATGCCCAAGAACCAGTGGCTGTCAAACAGGCCTTCCACTGCTGGGTATCTGGACTACACAGCTCCCTCCTCCCTGACAGAAATCCATATGCATGTATGTATGCACGTATGAATGAATGAGTACTAGAGTGGGAAACTTGGGGCCTTGAGATATGTTGGTTACAAGTTCCATGGCCCCATGTCCTTGGTGATGATTGGTGGGGCGGATGGGAACTGTAGGCCAAAACATCTGGAGTGTGCAAGGCTTCCTGATCCCAAATGTATGAGGTACCTGTCACTGACATCCTATATGCTTGCCATTTATTTCATATTAAGCCTGCCATTCAAAGAAGGGGAATATTTCCTCTGATACATGATGACCAGAATGGTTTTATTCATCACAGCTGAGATATGAAAAGGAACTGGAGATTGTCACCTCAGCTGAGCTTCTTTTGGGGACAAAGCTTCTTTTGTCCCACAATTCTCCTGTTTTGCCGAGGATGTAGTGCCTCTGTCCTCTCTTTAATACAGACTGCCAGAATTGCTGCGGCTATGTGAAAACAAGGAACTAATTTACTAATACTTGCTGGGTGACATTTTGTTATTTTCTTCAGAGTTCAGGGAAAGTTATATTTTTTCAACTGTAGTTACCAGAATTCCCCCAAGCCACAATGGCCTGGGAGGATTCTGGGAGTTGTAGTTCAAAACGCCATCTTCCACATTCTGAATTTACCATTGATGGAAGCCTGCTGTTAGATCAGTTCAGACCACAGGATTGGTTTAGCAGATGGTAGTTACTGTCTCACGCAGTTTACCCACTGATGTAACAACCAATGTCATACAAAATTTAGTGGTGTTATTACTCACCCCAGCTGACTGAGGGCAGATGGTGGCATGTTATGTAGATGTTGTTGTTGCCAGCCAGTTACTGAGCCCAGGTGGAGAGCACTGGCTGTGTTAAACCCAGAGAGCGATGACAAATCGGCGCTACTTAGTGAGTATTCTGCATGCAAATACAGAAGAAACAACCACTTAAAAATTAAGGAGAAAACAGCAAACCAATTACAAATATGAACCTCCATCCAATGGTTATTCTCAACTAGAGAAAATCCAGGGACCAATGGGACTTATGTATTGACTTACTAAAGAGTCATTGATTCAGTGGGTCTACTGTAGTTGGGACTAACAAATGGATTTAGGACAGCAGCCTTACTCTTTTTCTAGAGTAGCTGATAAATTGTTACATCTCTACTGCATTGGCAGTATTTATAGTGGATTCCTCCATCCCAGTTTAGTTTGTTATCTCGTGAATAAGATTCTCTGGTTCCTGAATAATATTCAGCTCATGAAACTTTTAAGTGTTCTCTGCAAAACCGTGTCATCATCACACCCAGGTATCTTTTGAAACTGGGACCCACATTCCAATCTCTTTAAAGATCTTATTGAGAATGGCTCCAAATATGCAGGGCTTTGTTGAAAATTACTATGAAGCAGGCTTCCAACTCCTGGGATTTAGAGGTTGTTTTTTAAAAAAATACTACAGCCTCCAGTTCTACCAACCAATGACTAAATACAAAGTAATGGAGAGCTCAGACCAATAATTTGTTTTCTGTATCAGAACTGAGTTCAAACAGTTTTTGTGTAGATTTCACACAATAGTCCTGGTTTTCCACCAAACTTTTTTCAGGTCAGCAGCCAATTTAGAAGAAAGTGAAGCAGAAACCTTTCTTTCTTTCTTTGGTTGATTTTATTGTTGAACTAGGAAATCTAGTGCTAATCACCTCAAAATTTCCCAGTAGATTCCAAGTTACAACAGCTGGGCCTAACCTCCCTCACTAGGTTGCTGTGCAGATAAAAAGGGGAAGAGGACCATGTATGCCGCACTGTGCTACTTTGGGAGAGAGAGGCAGCATAACATGTAATACAAATAAATAAAAAAGATTGAGTGAGAATAATGGCACCGTCCAAGCTTCTGGGACTCCTGCAGTGGGAACTCTGGGTTTCAGAGTAGTATCTCAGCCCAGAGACCTTGCATACACAGGCCTGTAATGCAGAAGGGAGCTGGGCCCCCAAAATCAGCTGCTCCAGATTGGTCTGATTCAAGAGCTTAATCTTGGATTTACAGCTCCAGTTTATCCAGCACTTGAAAGCTTGGAGCAGAAGAGTGGTCTTTCGAGATCTTGATTTCAGTGCAGCCATCTGTGACTCAGCCTGTCTTTGACAGACAAGTCAACAAATGGGTCCCATTTCAAAAGTGTGACACGCCATGTATCAACACCAGTAATGTTTCCTCCTGCACTTTACCGATGGGCAAAACAATACAGTGTAGGCGTGCACAGAACAGGTATGAGGAGGAACTGGTAGCTCTGATTCACCATAGCAGCACTAGCGTTATATAGGAGTTGAGTAAAAAAAGGTTAATCTTAAACTGAACAAAGGAGGCAGGTCAGATCAACTAACCAGCTGACTGACCACAACCTGCCCTCTTTCATAGATGGAGAGCAAATTCTGAAATGGAAAGCAGTCTTCACGGGCCAGTAATCTTCACAATATCTGGAAAACTGATTTTTCAGGTTTTCTGACTGTATGGAGAGCTCCCACAGTTAGGCATTGTTCAGATTTAGCATGAAAACTAGGATAGAGACAGTGAAGCTAGCCTACCCCTTCTGCTCATGGGGTAAAATTAACTTTTTTACTGTATGTCTGAACTGGGCTACTGACTTGTCAGGAAAAAGCTTCTAACACTGGGTTTGTTACTGCAAGTGTGTAGCGTTGGGCACCAATTAATTACAAACGCTTACAAAACTAAGCACCCTGCTGAGCAAATTCTGATACTGAAAACACAAGTGGCTCCTTAAGTCTCAAGAGTGCATTTAGTGATTCTTCAGCCATTTAAAGTAATTTCTCACTACGATGCACAATGAAAACACAGTTCTTCCTATGCTTCAGATTACAAATTATGTATTCATTTATTTCTCGTGCCAAATCTGCACAGACTGCATTTTCTGCCCGAATCAGTCTCAGAAAAGTAGTAGCAGGCATAGAACAAGATATTTCAGTATCACTGAGCTATTGTTATGTGTCAATGTCTGGCTTTTTCCCCACTGCAATTTACACAGCTTATATCTTATATTGAGACTTACCGGTACCATATGTTGTTGAAATGGCTGATGGGTATCCTCCCATCCCTTGCCCTGGCAAAGTAGGAGTTGCCACGGAAACCACTGGGGTAGCCAATGACTGAGCAGATTGAGAGTTATTTATCCTCTGATTCTTTTAAAGTAAGTAAAATAAACAGATTAATGGCGAGATAGAAAGCAGTTGAAATAAAACTACATTTAGGGGTTGGGGGTTAGTTTGTATGATACATAACAATACACAAATACTAAAAAATCATCACTTATCATGTCACTGTCAGGAATTCTGGCAGTCCCATGATTTACAATCTTTCAGGAGACCAGTTGTCACCATGGTAACACGTTACATCAGAATCTCCTAGGTAACCAAACTAGTAACATATACAATTTCTTCCCCCTTTCTGCCCCCAACATACACTGCTAACGAACAGGCTATAAGGATAACTTAACAGTATTTAACTTCTATTGTTTAGTTTTCTATTTTGCTGTAAAATGCCATTAAAAAGATTTTCCCTCTGTTCTAGTTCAGTTGAACGTAAGCGAATATGATCAGTTGTGCCATATTCTAATGAATGCTATGTGCCCTTCCCCACTGAAAGCAATGCAGAGCATCTACACACAGGTGTGTGTCCAACTGAGGTCCACAGTTCACAATCCAAAAAGTCACACAGAAACATGCCTACACATGCAGATCTCCTTAAGATGATCAGGTGCTTATATTTAAGATAACCAAGGTGGACAATGAACATGCAAAGTTGCACATTCAAGTTCCACCAGAAGATGGTGCTGTGGTTACTTCATTTTCAAAAGTGCAATACAGTACAGTACATTACTGTATTTGAAGGATAGTTTGTGTGTGTGTGTATGTGTGTGTGTGTGTGTGTGAGTGAGTGAGTGAGTGAGTGAGTGAGAGAAAGAGAGAGAGAGAGAGAGATCAAACATTTCCTACATTTTCCTGGTATTGGATTCTAACATGCAAAGACTCAGATGGGATATTAAAATGTACAAATAATTTAGTGTAAATACAAGACAGCTGAGGAAATTATAAGATGAAATCAGTACAATAATACTAAAAATAACAATATTCCTTTTAATTAAGAAAAGGATTTAGAAATATACTCTGAACATTTTCCAGTCCTCGAATGGCAGGAAGTGCTGGGAAGATGTATGGCATTTGTTTTTATTTCAGAAAACTTTTTTTTTGGTGAAAAAGCTTTTGCTATTTCATCTGCTAGAGCTCAGTCAGATCAAGTCGAATGAACTGTTTGTTCATGGCTAAAAGAAGCGTCATTCTCACTTACCAAAAGCAGATCAACATCCTCAGACTGACAGCATGAGAAAGGAGGATGAATGATTAGCAAAAGCAGATAACTTTGTCAAGATGTGATATTTTGTACTAAAATAATTAAGGGTGATGTAGGAAATTCAATCTTGGAAATGTAAGTTGTACTGTACTTTAAAAATGAGGTTTGAACAGTTTATTAAGAGTTGCTGCAAAACAATCAGCCAGCTCTCCAGCCAGGCCTGAGAGCGAGGTCATTTTATAATAACATTGCAAAACAATTTCTTTATGGTTGACTGTTGAATGTATTTATGTTGCAGTGTGTTAATATGGCCGGATATGGCATTTTCAGCTCCTATAACTTGCACCTTCTGTAGCTACAGTATTCTGGTTTTACAATACCTTGTTGTACCAGATCCTTTATGTTATAGGCCCTTATTTATCCAGGCCCTAAAATTTTAATCACAACAATGAAATTGATCATCATAATGGCAGCCTGCCAGATTCTAAGTTACAAGCCCTCATAGTTACAGAAGATGCAGAGACAATAGAAATTCCTATTACAAAATGTCTGTTGGCACACAAAGTCTCTGGATCTGCAGGTCCAGCAAAAAGGGTTGTTAAAAACTGGTGAAGGGATGATAAAGGTATAACTAATGACCAGGGTAAGGAGTAAAGTCATAGTAAGGAGCAAAGGCTGCCAGGAAAGCACTGTTAGAGGGGAAAAGACTGCTGGGAGGAGGGTTTTTTTTTTACTACATGCTGATATGATTTTATAATTCCTTATGCTCTAATCTTTTGTTTATATTGTCTGTTAAGATGTTTACAGAGATATGACTAAACTGACAGTTAATTTTTTATAACTTAGGGAGTATGCCTTCATATTTTTTAATATTAAGTATTTGTAACACTTTATTTACAGTCTTATTATTCCATTCTTAAGCACCAGATTAATTTTTATTAGACAATTTTTAGAGTAATTACTTATATTTTCCATTTAGTTCATTATGTTTTCCTAATTATATTCCTAAAACACTGTATTAAGTTCTTATAGTTTTTTTTGGATATTCAACAAATAAGTCAAGAGATAAAACCAATATAACAGATACATATACGCTTGCATGTGCTTCTTCCATAAAAAGAAAAAAAGTAATGATTTCTCAGGCATTCAGTTTATCTGTCTTGCATGGGACAAAGAAGTTAAAGGATATTCAGAAGGAGGGAGTAAGTTGTACATGGTGCAAAATATTCCTCTCGGTCATACTGGACTTAATCCTTTTGGTTCCAGCTGTGATGAAGCAGTGCTTCTGATTTTTCCTGGAGGTTTATAAAGTTCTGTAGGACTCTGAGGGAGAGGTTCAGGCACCAGACCTTAAAGTCTGTGGCTCCCCTATACATGAAGGCATAATTTTATTTCAAATCATGGTAGGGCTGGCTGACTCTTTCTCTCAACTCTGATCATTAAAGCTCCTCTGGATAAATGGTCTGTACTTGGACAGTTGCTTGTAAGGGAAAATGGATAGAATAGCATGGTGAAACGATCCATAACTAAGCAGTGTAGGATGTGCTTGTGGGTCCCAGGGCCGCATCCTCCCACTGCTCAGTTATGGATGCTTTAGCAAGCCATTATATTCAATCTTCTTTAAAAAGAAGTTTCCAGGCTTGTTTGTTTTTGAACAAAAGTGCATATCTAACTAGTTTTCAGCCTGGATTTTTGCCTCCCCATCATGACTTCATTCTTCATGGTTACAAAGACTGTAAAGCACTGCCTGGGTTTTTCATATTCCAAAGATGGTGAACCTCTCTCTGCCCAAAGGCAGAATTCAACCTCAGATATGTTCTTGAGGTTCACACTCCCACAACACACACACAGAGAAAAAGGCATAAGGCTGAGACCAAAAGTTATCAGGATATTTTAGTTTAAAACTCCTATTTCAGGATATAAGCCTTAGGACAAGCATTACAACTGGGGGAGGGCAGTTTAGAAAAAGCAAGGAAACCACCAAATGGTGATATCATGGAGAAGTGATGCAGCCATCTGGGAATGTCCATGGAAGAACCCCAGGAAGAATGGATTTAGTTAGAATATCTTTCACTGAGTTATTATGAATTTTTAGATTCTTTAAATGAATTGTCTCATGAAAACAGTGTTAATCTCCTTCAATACTATTCTATCTCAACAATTATTCAGCTGTAGTGAGTTTCAAAGCCAGAGCAGTATGTTGGGCTGGCACAGCCTCTTTCTTTGGGGTAATCACAGAGGTGTGCTAGCAGAACAATCTCCCTACACAACTGCTGCACTGGCTAAGATCAGTCAGTAGAAGAATAAAATAATGGGTAGAGTAGGAGTGGGGATGTGGGATGAGTTAAGCCAGATCCCAACCTCCTCCATCCTAAGGAAGCAGCCATTATGCCAGCACAAAATTAGACCCATGTGAGATATTTCTTTGTAATTTGTGCATTCTTAGCTTGTGAAGAGTCTAGATTCAGCACAGCTTCAGCTGGCCTAGAGACAGTTAAACTGGCTCTCATCTGTACGGGCTAGTTAGGATTGCACCTTTAGCTTCCAGGGGAGCAGTCACTTGCAAGCATTGTATTTATTTCATTGCTCTGGAAAGGAAATATTTCATTGATGAGGTTTCAGTCTGAGAATCTAAGTTGATTTATAATGCATCATACAAGCAGCTAACATAGAACTGTTTAAATTGCTTGCCATTTTACACAACAGAGAGAAGTAATCTCAGAGTCACTTACACTTGCCCTCAGGATCTTTTTAAATCAATTGTACTTTTAAACAGCACATTTCTTATGAAAAATTTACCTTCCATAACGCTTTCATGGGGGAAGAAGGAGCCATGTCTCATGCACTTCTGATGGCTCCATAGTATCTTAACTCTGTTTAAGTATGTTAACATAAGCTCGTGATACCAAATTAACACTTTTTTTTTTAAAAAAAAGAGCTTCAATTGAGAAAAAAAATGCTGTTTCTATTGTAATGTATGATCCATGGTTCAAAAGTGGCAAATTTAAAGCTTTTCTTTCTTTTATTTCTCAGAGACTTTTGCAGTTCTATACTGTTAAATCAAATCTCTGGGGAGAGGCTGACTTCTTCTATAAAGATAACTATCAAATCACAGAGAAGGCCTACCTTTTGGAGCTGTAAATGAAACTTAATGTAGTACACATGAAAATAAAAATATGTATTCATGAAGGCTTTCACGGCCGGGATCTAATGGTTGTTGTGGGTTTTTCGGGATCTTTGGTCGTGTTCTGAAGGTTGTTCTTCCTAAGGTTTTGCCAGTCTCTGTGGCCGGCATCATCAGAGGACAGGAGTACCAGAGTATAGAGTGCTTACTCTTGTCCTCTGAAGATGCCGGCCACAGAGACTGGTGAAACCTTAGGAAGAACAACCTTCAGAACACAGCCAAAGAGCCTGAAAAACCCGTAACAACCAAAATAAAAATAGCTTTTGAAAAGAGACTGCTTGAACATTGACCCTAGCTCTAAACCAATGATTTGTTTTGATATTACTAGATTATGATCCATGAGGCTGAGTTGGGAAAAATTACTTTTTTTTAAACTACAATTTCTGTAGTAATTTCACCAGCATGGTCAGCGGCTGTGCTGGCTGAAACATTCTTGGATTTATAATCCAAATACAGCAGAGACTTTCTTCATACATAGCATTATAATTTTTAAAAGGGATTTTGGGCTGATTCCCAACATAGTGACTGAAATCTTGCTGCTTAGGTAATAAGTAGAGTCGGCCCATTGAATCAGTGGGGATTTGGTGAGCCAATTTCTCTGTAAATTCCATTAATTCAATGGCATACCCAACTGCAGCTTCCTATGCCAAGCAACAGGACTTCAGCCAGTGTATATAAGATTGCAGCTCTGGCATGGAATCATGCTCACAGAGCAACACACATCTCCTTTCTCTGAGCAGCAGGCTGATATTTCATGTAACATGGAAGGGAAAGGCTGATGCTGAGAGTGGGAAGGATGGCCACTAGGAAATGAACTGATACTATCTGGACAGTTCAGTGGTTTAGATATCTGGCTGCGGAACCAGAGGTTAGGAATTCAGTCTTCCATCATGCCTCCTTGCCAGAGGCTGAACTCAATGATCCACAGGGTCCCTTTCAGTACTCCAGGTCTGAGATTATTATTATTTTATTATTAATCTTGTATGCATTGAGCAAAGGTGTTAGGAACTATTTTTGCTCAACTGTGCCCGCTTAGGTTTCTAGGATCTTGTGGATCATTGAGTAATCTGACTCCATTCATTCTGACTCATCTTGGGATGGTCACTCTGTCTCACTCTGCATATCCTACCTTACAGGGCTGTTCTGAGGATATAGAAAAGAGGAGGAAAACAAGATCACTGATGGAAAGTTCCATACAAGTGTTCTGTAATCATGTGTACTCTACATGTGAAGAGGTGAGTGCACAAGCCATGCCTTCTCCATTGTTAAAAGCTGTTGCATCTATGCTAGATTCTCTACCTAAGACAGAAACTTGGGTTGTTGTTGTTGTTGTTTTGGTTGTCTATAGATTCTAAACACTTACAACTTGCAAACATACAAAACCTACTCTTCAATCTCACTGTTGAATGTTGAACGTGAGGTGCCTTTGGACAGAAGAACAGCATATAAATAAATAAACAAAATGGATGGATGGATGGATGGATGGAGGAGGCAGGGCTAGCTTACAGAACACCTGAATAAGGTTTAGTAAATAAAAGAACTATAGTTTGCCCTTGCCTTGCACATCTGGAGTACAGGCCAAGATCTAACAGTGGTTTGTAGCAGAAACATGGGCAGTGCTTCATTATTCTGAGCCTGGAAAAGAGTCTTCTTCCCCCTTCAGGCTTTGTCTCATCATTCCAATAGCCTGATGTTATGACTCCCAGTTAACCACATTAAGGAGACATATTTCCTTTTCTTTATTTTATCTGTGGAATGTGTGGATTTCACAATGGTACTTGATCAGCTGCTGTACAAGTAAGCACTTTGCAGTCTGGTGCCCTCCATGATAGCACTTCTTACAACTGCCCTCTGACCCTACTGGCCAGTGGTTAGCAGGGGCTCAAAGGAGTTACAGGAAGTTATAAAACACATGCAAGCCAATGGTTTGCCTTCTTTCAGCTAAAAGTGGCCAGAAGGATAAAGAAGAAAATGGTGGGGAGAAAGAGGCTGGGGGGAAATACATACACACAAAGGAAGAAAAACAGAGCTAGCAAGCAAGTGGGATAAGGGTGGGGCACATTTTTTCAAAAGATAACCAAAGTAATTTGGAAATATCACCATGATTTAGAAGAATATTTTTTTAAAAAAACAACCCCATCCAATTTTGCACATAGAGACTCTGATTTTGCATGTGTTTAGAGAAAGATAATTATTAATTGGATTATGAAACATCCTAAATCTTAAGCTGGTCCTGACTTTTTATATTGTAGTATTTACATTTTAATTAAAGACATTTTTGGCTCTGGCTCCCTATCCATTTACACATGAGGAGGCCTTGACAACTCTTCTTGAGCCAGAACAGCTCCCAATGTTAAAACTCAGCTAATCCCCTGCATTCAGTCATTCATGGTCTTAGCATCTAGCAGAATATTAGTTATTTTGAAGGGAAAAGAGAAAGATGCATTACCACAGAGGGCATTGCGTTCTTGCTGCCTGGTGGAATCAGTACACGCAGATCTGGTTTACGGTTGTTCATTCCCAGGTTCATAGGAGGAGGAGATTTTGCTTGCATATTCTTGTTCAAGTTGCCAGGCGAGACCAGCAGACCTGGTGAGTTTCGGGGGTTGCCGTAGCCATTCCCTGTTGAATTTTGCCAAGAGAGTAAAACAAACATGAAGAACACATAGGCACACAGCTGAACACCTGAATGTAATTAATCCAACACAGCTTGAATAAAAGATCTTTCTTCCTTCATTTTCACTACCCACAACATGTACAATCTAACTGTTCTGAAGGCCCTGGAAAACAAGGCTGCTCTCCTACAAAGCAGTGTGGGATGGGTGCATCATTTTTATCCCATTAAAGGTAGAGATGTAGGACATGAGAATGCAAGATCATAACAGAACAAAGGCCTCTCTTCTGTTCACACAGTGTTCAGTTAGTTGCTTCTGGGAAGCCCACAGAGAGGACCGGAGTGTCACCACACCCTCCACCTTCCCCAGCAACAGCACAAACAACCTATCAGACACAGCTTTATTTTCAGTGCTTTTAAAAGCTATGCCCAACATGGAATTTGTTGTTTTTTTTTTCATAGCAACTACAGCACACTGGGTCAATATTTTCATCAAGCTGTCTGTTACAACCCCAAGATCTCTTTCTTCAGCCACTGACAGTTCTGCTCCCATTTGTGTGTATGTGAAAATGGAGGTGTTTCTCTCTCTTTTTGCCTCATTATGCAACACTTTTGTCCTATGAAAACCCTTTCACATTTTAATCCCCATTCCCCAAGTCTAGAACTCTTAAGAATCTTTTTAAAAAAATTTACTTGCACAAGCCTTAATATCTTTCTCTCTCTCTCTCCTTTGTACCAACCTTAATCTTATATCACCAACTACCTCAGTACACATCCCTAACCCAAGTTTATTTAAGTAGTCAGATATGAGAATCTGGGTGTAACACACAAGGAGGTTTTCTTCCACCATCCATAGGGCCAATCCTTCCACTACACAAAGTAAGGTGTCTGTCTCAGTACACTGCTAGCCCTGCAAGAAGGTCCTTAACCTCACTTTGGAGAACCTCCAGTCAACCAGGTTTCCAATTAATGTAGAGAGTCCCCATGGATAGGGAAGACTCTCTTGTTCAGACTCATTGCCCTCCACACACTCAGTGACAGAGGTGTCAACGTGTGTGTGTGTGTGTGTGTGTGTGTGTGTAAGAGTATGGTGCTCTACATGAATGCATCGTGAGTATTCCCTAAGTTGAGTGTCTCAACAGGGCTTAAGTAGTCCAACTTTCAGTTCCCGTAGGAGAGAACCTGAAACCCAAAAGCAGGATCTGAGTGCAATAGCATTCCTCTGATGATGTTAGAGTAAAACTTGTGAGAATTAGGTTCGAATTTCTGCTTGTCTATGACCACTCACAGAGGGGTGGCAACAGTAAACTACTTCAATAGCTCACGTACCTTAAAAACCCTATATAAGTGAGAAGCCACTTGATGAGCATAAGAACAACACTGTCTTTGATAGTGGAGGTGTGTGTACAAGCTTTCAGTCCGATCCAGCAGGTCTCTTTATATGTTCCTTAGCAGCTCAAATGGTTTTATGTCCAGGTTTTGCCACAACAGCATTTAGCAGTTATTTATTACCCCACTGGATCAAGGAAACCTGGATTCAAATCCCTACTCAGCCATGAACCTCACTTGCCAAATTTGGGTGAGTTGCTCTCTGAGCTAAGATCTACCTCACAGGATTGTCACGAATAGGAAGGGAAAAGAGGAAATGGAGTAAGCACTGTAGAGAGCACCCTACAGAAAGGGTGAGATGCAGGTAACAACAATGTCCCTGTTTGCTGTTTAATTTTTGGTGAATCCTGCTAGTCACTTGGTTGACCTTAGGAAAAATGTTATTCGCCTGAGACAAGCAGATGACTGGATTTTACCTGCTTGTGCACAGTATTGAACAATTAACTCAACACAGGCTTCTGGTTATTCCTTAGAAGAAAGAAACTAACCTCAGACAATATTGGGGAGAGGTGGGGGTAGGGAAAAGAGGGAGAAAGAACAAAGAAAACCCTGTCGGATTGGGCGGTTTTCATGGGCAAATATAAGAGGATTCTGCCTACCCTGACTCACTTTTTTCCACTTCAGGCTTTTTTGTTTTGAAACAAAGGAAAGTGCAGCAAGGCTATAATTTCCAGAAAAGAAAGAAAGAAGGAGAAAGCAGGGTGGGGGTGGGGGACGGGACAGGAGGAGGACGAGCAAGCCTCTTCAATGCTTCTCCCCTTCTCTCAGTCCCCTCCTCCACCTTCAGAGCCTGATCCTGAATGCTGATTTCAGCAGGAGGAGCCATCTCTTCTTGGCTGTCTTTTGCTTTTAGGAAGCTTCACGACCTGACATTCAAACATCTCCACATTGTGCTAATTTGGTGCTTTCAGAAGCAGTCCTTCTCTTGTGCAACTGCAGTAATAACAATGATAAATGCTGGCACAGCACTGCAATTAGCAGCAGATTCTCTGAGCACCAAAAGAGATGCATCCTCTTTGCCCAGGAGTGGTGCTCAGGGAAAAAGAAAAGAAAAGTGAAGGAAGGAAGGAAGGAACATGTTTACTAGAGAAGTAGCTTTCCAAATCTTTTGTTTGGGACCTACTTCACATTTCACTCTCCTCTAGAGAACTGCTATAACTAAAAGGCTCCTGCTGTGCTCCTGTCTAGGTGGTTGATAGCTGGAAGCCTCACATCTAATGGCATAATTTCAAGGCTACCCTTTAATCACTGTGTGATACAGAGAATCCTTGTGGACTTTCAGATAATGTGATACCAATAGAATTATTTACTACATGTTAGTTGAAAGACTACCATAGAATCATAGAAAAGTGAAGTTCGAAGGGGCCTACAAGGCCATCAAGTCCAACCCTCTGCTCAATGCAGGAATGCAATCAAAGTATATCTGCCAGGTGATTGAGTTTTTCTTGAATGCGTTCAGCGTTGGAGCAGTCACCAACTCCCAAGGTAACTGCATCCACTGTCGTACTGCTCTAACAGTTAGGACGTTTTTTCCTGATATTCAACTGAAATCTGGCTTCATTTAGCTTGAGCCCATTGTTGTGTGTCCTGTACTCGGAGATGATTGACAACAGATCTTGCCCCTCCTCTGTATGAGAGCCTTTCAAATATTTGGAAAGTGCTATCGTAGCACCCCTCAGTCTTCTTTTCTCAAGGCTAAACATGCCCAATTCTTTCAGCTTTTCCTCATAAGGCTTGGCTTTCAGCACCCTGATCATCCTTGTCACCCTCCTCTGAACTTGTTCCAATTTGTTAGCATCCTTCTTGAAGTGTGGTGTCCAGAATTGGACATAATACTCAAGGTGAGGCCTAATCAGTGCTGAACAGAGGGGGACTAACACCTCACGGGATATCAAAACTATACTTCTATTAATGCAGCCTAAAATAGCATTTGCCTTTTTTGTAGCCACATCACACTGTCGGCTCATATTTAGCTTGTGATCTACGACAATTCCAAGACCCTTCTCACTCATAGTTTTGCTGAGCCAGGTATCCCCCATCTTGTAATGGTGCAATTGGTTTCTTTTTCCGAGATGCAGTACTTTGCACTCATCCCTGTTGAATTTCATTCTGTTGTTTTTGACCCAGTCCTCCATCCTATCAAGATCATTTTGAATTTTGTTTCTGTCTTCTAGGGTATCAGCCATTCCGCACAATTTGGTATCATCTGCAAATTTGACATGCATTCCCTGCACTCCCTCATCCCAGGTCATTAATAAAAATATTGAAGAGCATCGGGCCCAGGACTGAGCTTTGGGGTACCGCACTAGTCACCTCCTCCCAGTTAGAGAAGGACCCATTAATCATCACCCTCTGAGTACGATTCTGTAGCCAATTGTGTATCCACCTGACTCTTGATAGTAGACAGTTGATAGTAACATCAAATCAGCAACACATGCTGAAGGACATTCTCTATTAAGCACCCATACATTCATGTACTCACAAACACAGAGGTAAGAAGAAAATATAAAGCAAAATGAAGTAGGATAGGCTTCTTTTTATTTTTTTTCATAGTAAATTAATGCATATTCTAAGCCTATGATCATATGGAGCAAGCTCTCTTCAAAACTACAGTCCAAACAAGTATCTACAGGATCACACTACTAATTAATGCTCTTAGGCCTACACCATAAACCTGTAGTCCAAGAACAATGACTGTAAACTATACCAATACTCCTTAGGAAATCCTTTTTAAAAAAAATAAAATAAAATAAAGGAGTATAGTGGTCCAACAATTTCTTTCATTGTATAAAACGTATTGCGCATTATGGTAGGGAATTGTATTCACGTGCTATTTCAGTGTAGTTTGTGACAATAAAATGTAGTCCAAGAACAATGACTGTAAACTGTACCAATACTCCTTAGGAAATACTTTTTTTAAAAAAAAATAAAGGAGTATAGCGGTCCAACAATTTCTTTCACTGTATAAAACGGATTACACATTATGGTAGGGAATTGCATTCACATGCTATTTCAGTGTAGTTTGTGACAATAAATACTCTGCTGGATTGTGTTCCCAGTTTCCCATATGTTCTTTACTGGACAAAGTCGGCAGGGAGAGCTATTCTAAATTTCTGGTCTTCGTTATTGATAAGATGGGACTGGAAATAAAAGAAAAAAAATAAAGGAAGGAAGGAAAATATAATAAATGAATAAAAGAACAGAAGAAGCACTCTGCTAGATGGGATCTTATTGTTCTTATGGCAGCCAAATGGAAACCAAAAGGGAAGACAATGAACAAATGGCACAAATACACCAGCACCCAAGATATGCTAAATTTCTGTAGTTCAATCAACAATAAAAAACCTACAATTATTGGTGGGACATTTTAAAGGGAAAATTAAAAGAAACACTTCAGGAGTTTAGACAAATGCTATGAAGAAGAAATGAAGTAAAGCTTTATCTACTATGGATTTGCATAATGGGGTAGTTTTGTTATGGGAAATTAAAACCTCCTAACGGTACATATATAATACAACCTATCAGAGAGTTATTCAGCACACAGATATGATCAACACATGAATTCATGTAATGCATGAATATGTTCTTACATACATGTATGCAAACATGTGGACTTGTA